TCTATGCTAAGCTAAAATGGGTTGAAATTGCATGACAAAATTTGGTACCATACTTATCTAGTGTGTCATAGCTATTTTATTTTATTTGTGTTTAGTATGTTACAAAATTTTAATTTGGACCTAGAACTAATTTGTAATACGTATAAAATGAGAATATAAAATTAAGGGGGAAGAAAAATTCAAGCTAAAAAGAAAAATGCAAACCCCACGATCAAAGTCTCTAGTATACGTTTAGGATTGTCCAATGTTAAAATCTCTAAGTCTCAATTTTTGTTAAACCCGTCAATTGGCTTGTCGAAATAAAAGCAATTAAAAGAAATTATTTTTCAAAATTGAAAAAGCCAAAATGACTTGGGTATAAATTTCGTCATCATCAAAAAGGGGGAAATTGTTATGAATAAATTGTAAATTTTGATGAGCGGAATGTATTTTTGAAAAAGCAAGTAGTCCCCAATTTTATTCTATTTGAGTCAGTTTGAGTCTACAGAGTATGGTGCACCCATACCATGCAACCCATGTACAAGTCTGGAAGATCATAATTTATTTGAAGAAGTTAAGCGGGATTATAGCTTAACAAAATTATGATGCGGATAAGTCACTAAGAACCATGCTAGAGGAGTTGGATGATATGCGTGTGAGCTGTGCCAAATTATCCTAAGTTTGAATCTTAAATGGAGCATTTTTACCTTGCTTGGGAGACTAGCTAATACCGTATGGGAGACTAACTAGCTTGGGAGACTAACCTCAATTGACCAACTTGGAGACTAGCCAAGAAGGAGACTAAGTAAAATGGAGACTAACCAAGTAAAATGCACAAGTCTCACAAAAGCCATGCACTGATGAAGAAACATTCCAAGTATGGTGAACCAAGTGCAAAACCGAAACAGAGCATCTCACCATGAACAACAATGAAGCTTTTACAGAAGGTTCCAGTATATTATTCTACAAGGATCATGAAGGAGAAAATAACTGATATATTTTCATCTGAACATCAACTTTTTACGGTGGAACCGGAGACGCTCAAAGGAGGCTGATTCACGGAGAAATTATTTCATACTCAAGCAAGAATCAGCAGATAAATTATTTGATCAACTTGACATGTCAGAGCATTTATGAAGGACAAGAAAAATCAAGCTTGCCAAGCCGAACTTATTCAAATTTTGGAGGCTACAAAATTAAAGACACGGCAACGGGCAAAATATTCAAATCATCTGACAAAAGGAGAAAAGACTTCTACCTAATATTTCAGATCAAGTTGACAATATTATTTGATTAACTACAATTCAAAATGGACGATTGAGATCGAAAGTTGATCAACGGGCAAATAGTTTTCATTGGCTATAAATTTCCCAAGCAGATTTGAAGATGTACAAGACACTTGAACAAGAGCTGAAAAACAACGAAGAATTTCCAATCAATCATCAAGTGACATATTGAGCTATACACGATTAAATTCAAGTCTGAGTGAGAGAAAAATTTTATCTCTTTGTAAATTTCTCTACTGAGTGTAGAAAGAGGACGGAGTAACTAGAGAGAGTGAAAAACCCTGGTTGAGTGTAGCTTTGTGCGTAGCACTCGGTGTAAAGGGCAGAGTAACAAGGGGAGCTTGTGAAAACCCTGTGAGAGCGTAGCTTTGTGCGTAGTTCTCGTGGTGTAGGAGTACAGCTTGGTGCAAAGTACTCGGGAAGGCGGAGTAACAAGAGGAGCTTGCGAAAAACCTTGGTGGAGTGTAGCTTTGTGCGAAGCACTCGGAGAAGTGTCGGTGGACACTTATTCACTATTGTATCTGGGTGATCGAAGAATAGTGAATTTCCTCCTTGGAGTGAAAGGAGAAGAGTGGACTAGGAGGATTACACCACCTCTGAACCACTATAAATCTCTCTCTCTCTTTACTTACTGCTCACATATTTCGTGCATGCTTATTCTAACTACGAACTAACCCAATTACGATTTATCGCATATCTTTATCTATCTGGGTTTAATAGTTCCCACGTTTGCATGCAAGCCAAACTTACGTACATCATCTTTGAACCATATCAAGTGTTTCTAACGTGTTGCATGTTTAGAATCTCTCTTTGAACACCGCACAATTAAGCATAACACTTTACCGTTATATATTCCGCTGTGCACTCTAAGTTGTTATCTTGTTGATGCTTGTTACTTAGAGTTGAAATTACCAAAGTGTTATTTGCCTTGTGTGTTTTCGAAGAAAGTTGAAAAAGTTAGAGAAGTCTATTCACCCCCCCTCTAGACTTCTCGCCTCCCTTTCGGGACCAACAGTTGTGGAACTGTGTCCACCTTGCAATGTGGACACAGTTCTATGTTCATAATTACTGAACTATATGTTCATAATTATAAAGTTATATATTCATAATTTTTGAACTTCATATTCATAATTATTGAACTTTATATTCACAATTACAGAACTCTATGTTCATAATTACTGAACTATATGTTCATAATTATAAAGCTATATATTCATAATTTTTTAACTTCATATTTACAATTATTGAATCTCTATATTCATAATTACAGAACTATATGTTCATAATTATGTTCACAACGTTATGTTCATAATTATAGATCTATATGTTCATAATTTTTGAACTATATATTCATAATTATGAACAGTTTTGGAACCGTGTCCACCTTGCAAGGTGGACACAGTTCCACATTATAATTTTCCCATTTTATTGCTCTTATTACTTAAATTAAAAAAATAAATTAGTAGCTACAACAAAAAATAATATATATGCATTTAATTAATTTAGAATTAGATGTCTTACAACACATGAAACATGTAGGGAAAACTACCAACACCAAATATCAACATGTGCTTGTAAGATAAGGAGTTCATAGCACTACTAAGATCTCAGTCATATACACAACAAGACAACTCTAAAACTTCATACACCATAATCTCATTGCATGATGAATCTCTCTATGATACTACTAATAAACCAATTAAACATGACACACTACCAATAACAAAAAAAAAGAAAAAAAAAAAGAAAAAAAAAACATGTACTGTGGAGATGAAAACAATAACAATGCTACCTAAAAGAGAATTAGAAAAATTTAAACCAAAAGTAATATTTATTTAGACTATCGCTTTTAGACTTAGTATTTAGATTAACGTTATTACAAAGTTGTAAACACTTATTTTTGTGATAGTTATATATAATCAATCTCTCATATATTATCTTGCATTTATATACTTTAAATTACCGATTTAAATAAACAAATTCAACATTTATTTACCTATGCATGAACATCTTCTATATAATATTGCATTGATATACTTTGAAATATTTATTTAAAAATAAGTATTGGGCATTATCCTATTCGCGCAAAGCGCGTAGAAAAACTAGTGTATATATATATATATATATATATATATATATATATATATATATATATATATATATATATAGGATTATTTTCAAATACAAACCCCCCTTAGAATACAAACCTCCCTTAAAATACAAACTGTATGCATGTAAGTATGTTAAAGTGTGCACGAGCTAATTCCAGATATTGTTGGCAGTGTGTCCAGTGGGCATGTAAGTATGTTAATGTGTGCACGAGTTTTGATGGATGGTTGTGATTTTTTTCTCCTACGCGTTGTGTGCATGCAAGTATGTTAATGTGTGCACGAGCTTTGATGGATGGTTGTGATTTTTTTCTCATACGCGTTGTGTGCATGCAAGTATGTTAATGTGTGCACGAGCTTTGATGAATGATTGTGATTTTTCCTCCTACGCGCTGTGTGCATATAAGTATGTTATTTTGTGCACGAGTTAATCCCAGAAATTATTGGCAGTGCACCCTGTGTGCATGTAAGTATGTTAATGTGTGCACGAGCTCAAGTTTGTATTTTAAGTGAAGTTTGTATTTTAAGGGGGTTTGTATTTGAATGCAACCATATATATATATATATATATATATATATATATATATATATATATATATATATATATATATATATATAGTACAAGTGTTAGTATAAGTATTATAAATGAGATGAGATTCATGAGGTCCCTATTAGAAATGAGATCATGAGGCCACATCACAACCATTAACTCATTTAAAATTGATGGATGAGATTGAAAGAGTTATATCAATTAATTAAGGATAGATTTTAAGCATGAGAAGAAAATAGTAATTGTGTTAGTGTGGTTATTTTTTGTTAGAATAATAATGTAATAATTAGCATACTAATAGACTAAATATGAATGGTAATAATCAATATAACTTTTTTATTAGAGAATTAGACCACAGGTGAATTGCATTTATTTTGGGTGAAAAACATTTGTCTAATTTGATTGTTGGTGCATGCATGTATTTGTTTGGACTTGTGCATGAACTTATTTGGGTTTTTTTTTTCTTTTTTTGTAACGTGGGGGGAAACATATTTAAAGCCGTAGAAAAATGGTAATTGGAAGCCTGTGCATGATGTTGTTATGGTGTGTGCGTGTTTATTCATCCTATCAATGGTAATAATTAGATATACTTTGTATTATGATATTTTAACGTGCAAATAAGGAATGGTATTTTACACTCATACAGAGCTTGCAAATGGTGCATAAGAACACATGTATGTACATTTGTAAATTTTCCTACGTTAATGTTGCGTTAGTGTGTGCATTTGTGTGGTAGGGTGTGTGCGAATTTCTGGTAATGGAACTTTGCACCATCTCTTTTTTTTTTTTTTTTAATTTAGTTCGATGGTGGTTGCGCTTATGTGGGTGGGCGTGTGCAAATTGTAAGCATGAAGTTTCATAAGATTCGTAAGCATGACGAAGCTATAGTGTTGGGGTTTGCCGTGTGCCGTACACTACAAAAAACTGTTTTTTTAGCGACATGCACTTAGCGGCGGTTATATATAACCGCCTCTAAATAAATATTTCGCGACAATTATAACAACCGCCTTTAAATTTTGTACTAAAATTTTATAAATTAACGGTTTGTAATAATCTACAACAAGCGTTGATCGAGTTTAGAAAGTAAAGTAGGGAAACCCTAAAATCTCTCGCTGCCTCCTTGGACTCCTGGAGAGTGGAGACGCCATTGCCGCTCACGAGGAGGAACATCAACGTCGATGCAGCAGATCAACCGCCAGTCCGCCACCTCTCGCTGCTGCCGACGACGTAGAAGGTCAGACGCCACCTCCCGCTCCCTCTCCCTGCCGCCGTTGCTGACGCAGCAGATCAACCGCCAGTCCGCCACCTCCCGCTTCCGCCGAAGACATACTTACTGGGAACTCAAGGTAAGTTGTTTCAAAAACTTAAATTTACTGCTAGATTTTCTTATATTTACTGATTAAATGTAATAATTTGCCGTCTATGTTTCATCTTGGCCTAGCCATATGAGTATGTATTTCTTTTCTACTGAATTACTGAAATAACCTAAAATAGCAATTAGTAATTGCATGATTCATCAATTAATGATGGATGAGAGATGGATTTAGATTCAAGTTTTGCAAAATAGCTTTATTTATGAAGAAAGATTTTTGAACTATATCAAGAAAACCACAAGTTCCAAAGGTTTTAGTTTCAAGTTCTGCAAAAAGTTCTTATTTTCACTTTCTTCATAGAACATGGGATTCTGCTTAAAAGTTTAGAGGTTTTAGATAGTATCATTTTTCTATCTAATATGTGAAATTACTGCAATCACTTTACTCTGGCTCTTTAGCATGCATTCATCCATATTGGGAGGTTAAGAAACTTGATATATGAACTTCTGTTTTCATAGAACATACATTTTTACTTTATCAAATAAATGTTCTTGAGATGATTATTGTCTAACATTCCACTTTAGAATGAGGCAATAAAGATGTGGCTTATTTATCAAATTAAAGCTTGCCAGATTGAAATTCCTTTCTCTTGATACTCGCTACAAGTCTTGTTTCTTTGACTTGAATCCTATACAATAATTTTGCTAGCATAATTTACTGAATGTTTTCTGTAGGAATTCAACAATGTGGTGGATAGGATCATAGGAGAATAAAAGATCTCTTAACAATTATGGAGAAACGTTTACATGATTATGTTTAGGAGCTAATAGTTGTGGTGCTAATCTGGTTACTCTAAGTTATAATTGCTTTTGAAAGCTTACCTTTGCTTGTCAAGTTGCTAACTTGTATTGATAAGGTTATTAAATTCAACTACAGAAATGGACTGTTGATTTGAATCAGTATGCATGTGAAAGCTTGAGGTTAAACCATCCAGAGACAAATGTAACATTATCCTCTCTAATTCCTTTTCTTTTCTATGTTGTATTTAGTCATTTTGCCTTTCTGCTGATCTTTCTTGTTTTATATGCATTTTGTAGGAGATAAGCCACCTGAAACACTTGTGTGTTGCCTAAGGCCCTACCAGAAACAAGCTCTTTACTGGATGTCAGAATTGGAGAAGGGAACTGAGGCAGAGCAAACGACCAAAGTTTTGCATCCATGTTGGGCAGCATATCGAATTTGTGATGAGTATGCACTTTTCTTGGGATATAAGATAAGATGTCAAAACATTAAAAGAAAACTACTTTGTACTGGATATTAGGAGTTTCACCTAAATTTGTGAAATATTTGCTCTATTAATTTGGGAATTTGCTGACCAAGCTTCTCAACAGGAGGGGTTCTGCAATTTATGTGAACATTTTCTCTAGTGAAAACAAGATGGGTAGTGAGTTTTCTTTGTTACCTCTTTTCTCTATAGCTATTTTTTTTTTGTTGCATACATTAATTTCTCTGCAAAATATGATTTTTGCCATCTTAGCAGATGCTATGGGCCTGGGGAAAACTGTAATGACAATTGCTCTGCAACTGCAATTATAACAGCTCCTGTATTAAAGGGGCAGGAAGTAGTGGAGGCTCATATATTAGTTGAAAACTTGACCCAACAGCTTACAAGTGAGTTCTTTTGCTTATTTTTCAATGTTATGTAATTTTCCATGTTATATCATTAAAAAAAAAATCCTTTAAGGAGTTTCTGAAAGCATAAATGATAGAAGCAAGAAGCTCAAACAGATCAAAGAGGAAAAAGACGACTTGAAGGTAGGTGTGGTGTATCTTATGAAATTGAGCTTACTAAGTTTTTGACTGTTTTGTCATTGGTCTACAAAGTTACTATGAATGTAGGCTATGGAAGAAAATTATCAGGATACCCTTCAGGAGGAGGAGAGAGAATTGGAGCAACTCTTAAATAAAAGGAAAACCTATCTTGCAAAACAAAATGAGTATTCGAAGAAGATTCGAGAAAAAGGTTTGTCCCAATCTGTGGATCCTCATTTTTATGCAGCCATGCTATTTGAAATGTCATGCCAGCATTAGATATCCAGCTCACTTTGATTCTTCATTGTGTAGGTATGCCAAGATCAAAAAGGTTCATGGATATGAGAGTCGGCCAAGGTCTTAACAACAATCTTCTACGTCAACACACGAGCAATTGTTGAATGATGCACCACATGAAGATACATTTCCAAATCATGAACAAACTCATGATAATGATACACCTCAAGAGCAAACTCAGGATGAAACACCACAAGAGCAGTGCTAATGGGTAATTGCTTTGGTTCTTTAGCCCTTCTCTAGTAGTTGGATTTTTTTACTTTGCTTAAGAAGGGCCTGTTTTTAATTGATGTTATATTTTAATCCTACCCCCAATTGGTTCCTTCCAGGTTGAAAGATGGAATGAACACAGGGAGACTGGGACTTTCCCTAGGCCACTTTAACTTGATGTGGATTTAGACAATGTTTATCATCTTGTTATGAAATTTGGCCTTTTGATTTCCTTTTGAATGTCAATGGATTAATAAGCATTCTTGTACTGGCTTCTTAGAAAGCTTTCTTGGTTTGGGAGTTTAAAACAATTGGCTTCCAGTATATAAAGATTCTTTGTTTTGTTATAAATATTAGTTATAATTGATTTTCTTTCCAATTAAATGCATACATAGAGGTTATTTGTGATTGTAATATGAATTTGAATATAAAGATTTTTGAAGAAATATAATTAAATGATAATTTAAAAATATAATAATGTGATTATAGAACATTTAGCAATACTTAATTATAAAATAAAAACATTATTTAACAACACTTAATAACCGCTACTAAAATTTTTAAAAATAAATAAAGAAAAAAATTTAGCGACACTTAATAATAGCTATTAAAATTTAAATAAATAAATAAATAAAGATACATTTAGCGGCGGTTGCAAAACCGCCGCTAAATGTTTAAAAAAAAACCCTCATTTTAGCGGGGGTTTTGAAACCGTCGCTAAAATCAAATGAAAAGCACCTCATTTTAGCGGCGGTTACAAAACTGCGCTAAATTCGACCAAAACCACCGCTAAATGATTTTTCCATTAATTCCCGCGATTGTTGAAAACTGCCGCTAAATCCTTCGCGACACACCATTTAGTCACGGTTGGAGAAACGCCGCTAAACAGCTTGGTGGCGGTTCAAAACAGCCTCTAAATGACGGTTTTGGTGTAGTGGTAATTCAATGTTGTGTTACTGTGTGCATTTGTGTGGTAGGGTGTGCGAATTTCTGGTAATGGAACTTTGTACAACTTTTTTTTTTTTTTTTTTTTTTTTTTAGTTTAGTTCGATGGTGGTTGCGCTTATGTAGGTGGCCGTGTGCAAATTATAAGCATGAAATTTCATAAGATTCTTAAGCATGATGAAGCTATAGTGTGGGTGTTTGCCGTTTGCCGTAATTTAATGTTGGCGTTAGTGTGTGAATTTGTGTGGTAGGGTGTGGGAGCGTTATGCTGTGCATCCTTATGCACCATGCATGGTGCATACGGATGCAAAAACGACGTCGTTTTGGCGTCTAACTTAAAAAAAAAAATCAGAATTGCATAACTATACATCCATAATTTCACTACACATCCATAATTTCATAACTATACTTCCAGAATTGCATAACTACACTTCCAGAATTGCATAACTACACTTCCAGAATTGCATAACTATAATTTTAGAATTGCATAAGTACACATCCATAACTTCATAACTACACATCCAGAATTGCATAACTACACCTCCAGAATTGCATAACTACACTTCCAGAATTTCATAACTAAAAAATCCAAAAATGAATGAACTAAAAATGAATAACATAATGTTGTTGCTGGGAATCGAAACTGATTTTTTTTTTTTAAGTAGGGCGCGCGTTTTATGCAAAACGACGTCGTTTTTGCATCTGTATGCACCATGCAAGGTGTATACGGATGCACAACATAATTTGCCTAGGGTGTGTGCGAATTTCTAATAATGGAACTTTGCACCATCCTTTTTGTTTTTTTTTTTTTTTTTTTTTTTAGTTCGATGGTGGTTGCGCTTATGTAGGTGGGCGTGTGCAAATTGTAAAGCATGAACTTTCATAAGATTCTTAAGCATTATGAAACCGTAAACTTCAAATAATGTTTTTTTTTTTTAAACCTTCACTTCAAATAATGTTAGGGCGCTCACGTCTGCCAAGCGAATAAAACATTGTTGTTTGAATATGTGTTTCTTGCCAGGGACATTGTAACTTCCCACGGATTGAGGTGTGTGCGAACAATAATGTGGGTGAGTTCATCGAAATGAGTATGCGCGTACACATACGTGGTATGTATTGCGGGTATGTTGGGTGTGTGCGTTGTATTGAGAAGTGTGTGCATGAATGTGTAGCATAGTGTTTAGCACAAAAGCACAAAGGTAGTACGTGTGTGCATTCACGGTATAAGACGTGTGCATTAGGCTGAAATGAGAAAAAGAACATGTTAAAACGAAATGAAAATTATTTCCTGAAGTGGAAACAGTAGGTACTACGTGTTATTTTAAAGAAATCAATATCCAAAATAAAAAATATGAACAAAAAATGTCGTAATCAACTCTTAAAAACTGTGGACGCAAGTATCAAACACTAGTAACAAATCTTGATCTTCAGCGAGTAGTATTCCCAAAACCCACCACGCAATTGACTTAGGAGCAGCACGAATCTTCAAAGCCAGGAAGAGTACCACGTTGTTAGCAGCAAGGCCATCATCTTCAACATCCGAACGCAGGTCTGCTTGGGCAGGATGAACCACACCAACCAAGGGTGATTGAAAATCGTAGAAAGATGACATAGCTACCACAACATCTACAAACTCTCCTACATTATTTCCTGCAAATGGCCATAATTAATGCAAAGACACGACCAAATGGCCATATATATAGGGTCGCGTTCTGGTGCGAATATCCGCCCAGGTGCGAAATGCAAACCAATCAGCGCGCGCCATATGTCAGAATTCATTGATCGGGTGCACCTACTTTCACCTATAAGTGCACCTACTTTCGCCTGCAAGTGCATGTAGTTTTTGCCTGCATTCGTTGATCGGCTGCACCTACTTTCACCTACAAGTGCACCTACTTTCACTTGCAAGTGCATGTAGTTTTGCATTGTTAACATTCATTGATCTAAGTTCGTTCTGTTTGGCATCATTTTTGTTCTTGCAGGGAGTTCAGCGGGTAGTAGTACCCGTGAAACCACTCGCAAACATTCATGCACCTAGGTGCAACTACTTATAACTATTTGTGCAACTACTTATAAATATAGGTGCACTTAGTATTGATGCTCAATGTAAATTTTACTTTCACCTATAATACATTTTACATGCACTTGCAATACATTTTACTTGCACTTCGATGTTGGATATTTACGAAATGTGAAGTTCCTACCTCCCCACGTGATTGAGGTTCCGTTGGTACGGATGTGACGGTTATGTGGGAAGCACCGTTCACTAGGGCCTCCCCGCGGTGGAGTGCCTGCCTCCTATGACCCAGATTCATGAAATGATGAGAATGATGATATTATGATGAGAATGATGAGAAAGATTGAGAAACATGATGAAATGATGAGATTGATTAAGGTCCTTCCGTATTAAAGCTATATTGCTATATTTTGAGAGTGAGTGACATGAGAAGTAAAGTACCCATTCTTGCTATCCTAGTACTAGTATGAAAGTATAGATTCGCATTACACTTATCTCTTCCACATGTTATCTATCTTGAAGCATCCTAGTATATGTATGAAAGTCAAAGGCATCTTTGTATACATGTTGCATCGTAGGTACTGTTAAAGTGTTAAAAGCATGGGCATGGAATGCGGGTATATATGTATATGTCTATGTATGTTGGTTTAGATGCTTATATGTGAACTATCCATACATGTATACATTGATTGACCATTGTGCTTATCTTTGATCCTATGTGATATACGTGTGAATGTCAAATGATTTTTCAAATCTATATCTATATTATGTTACAGGGTTGAGTGGTCTTATACTTAGTATTTTTATGTTAACGGGCTATTTTCCTATGTTTTCTTATAACCCTTTTCAGGTTGACTTGATGCATGATGAGAGCGCACTTATCGAGGTTGTAGTGTGTAGCTCTAGATTGTTATTTTGGTAGTTAGCCTTAGTAACCCTTCCCTCTTGTTCTGGAGACTATCTTTAGTGGATTGATGTAGCTTAGACTACCTTGTTTTGCTGGTGTTTAGACACCGGGGTTTGCAAACCTCTTTTGGTTATGTATAGAGCTTTTGACTCTAGTTTATAGTTTGATGTTTTATCATGTGCAACTACTCGAGGGTGGGTAGTTGTGGCGGTAGCACCCTCTTATGGCTGTTTTGGATTTAATCTATCTTAACTTTATCTCTTTTTCTCTTTCTTTTACCCTTATTTGGATGTTAGAATCTAGGCTCAAAAGTATAGAAAAAGGGGGTGTTACACCACTATACATGTTCCCAAGTTGTGGTGTGATAATCTTGGTGCTACATACATGTGTGCAAATCCTATTTTTCACGCTCGTACTAAACATATGGAAATCGATTATCACTTTGTTAGAGACAGAGTTGCCAATGGAAACATATAGGTTAATTTCATATCAACAAAGGATCAATTGGCTAACATCTTTACAAAAGCTTTACCTGGTCCTAGATTTTCTTTGCTTAGAGACAAGCTACAAGTCACCAGTGTACCTTGTGCTTGAGGGGAGTACTAGGACTCTATGTATTTGAGTTAGATTATGATTCCCTATCCAAGTCTCTGAGACTTTCTCTAGATTATGATTCCCTATCCCAGTCTCTGAGACTCTCCTTTTTATATATACATGTAATCTGTACATCTGTAATTACTTTTGATTTAATACAATTCTATCACTTCTCATCATAAGTTGTTATAACATAAGTTCATCTTAAGTCTAGGATATTCGAATTGTAAAGAATTTTAAAAAGTATATACATGTCTATTCACCCCCTCTAGACTTGTAACCCGACATTTTTGGGACCAACACTATTTCAGGTACAGAATTCATACTTTTAAGGTACAGAATTTAATAACACAAGAAACAAAAATTCACAACGCAAGACACATACATATGTTATATATATTTACTTATTTTCAAATCTGATTTAGGTAGATAATTTATGTCCTATAGGTAGAAAATTTCACAACACAAGACATTAATTCATAATATAAGACACACAATATGTTGTGTGTTACACAACTACTAATCTATTCTAAGTACAAAATCATACTCTTAAGATACAAAATTTCATAACACAAGACACCAAAAAAAAAAAAAAAAAAAAAAAAAACAATTCACAACACAAGACACATACACATGTTATATATTTACTTATTTTCAAATCTGATTTATGTAGAGGATTTATGTTCTATAGGCACAGAATTTCACAAAATAAGATATAAATTCATATCATAAGACACATAATATGTTGTGTGTTACACATCTACTAATTTGTTTAAAGTACAAAATTGATACTCTTA